AGCGACACAATCCCATTCATTTCAATGGAGAGCTGGCGATTTCCGGCGACACGAGCGATAGCAAGCGACAGCGACCGTTGGCGACCGGATGGGGCGTGTCCAGCGACGCGACAAAAGTTCAGAATCCTTCAACTTTATGCAAATGAACAGCGACTTTCGGGAGCGACAGCAAATAGGAAAGAAGACGGTAGAGCTCATGTGATCGTTCTCCAAACGACAAAAGTCGCTGCTAGTGTGAACGGGGCTTTATCAGTGGCGCACGAGATGCGATGACGATGTAAGTGTCTTACAAGATGTTGCATTATAATGTTTTTGTTAGCCTATTCAGTTGAAGCCACTAGATGCGGCGCTGCTACGTTGTTCATTCAAAATATTGCAGAAAAAGAGAACATCAATGCGGGGAAGATGTTGTTTACACAAAAACTGAAACCAAGTCGTTCACACAGAACGCATATTTATCGCATTTTTCTAGAGGGACATCTATCACCGTTGCACTCACGTCTCGCAGAGAGCGGCATGTTTAGAAAGCAATGTAAAATTAATGTAAGTTCAACTTTTAAAAAACATGTCTCAAGACTTTATGGCGGTTTTCCCCATCCCACTGCATCTCAAGTTTTTAAATGAAGAAAGTACTCTTTGTGATTGGTTTTTGGTCCTTTGTATTAAACTATACACAATACATGCATGATGCTGTTTTGTTTCTAATTGTTTAAGCAACTTTATTAATTATATAAGGTTTATAAACATTATTTTAAACATTATGCAATTTTTTCAAAGATAGTCGAGTTATTTTATTATGCTTTGAAGAAACGCGCATAATATTTTGCTCGATGCGCCCTCTTGTGGCCTCGGGTGAGAAGCCAAAAGCTTTTTTCCCCCCAACTGAAATTATGCCTTTTAAATTCAAATATAATTCGAATATTGATAATATTTAAGTAAAAAAATTCGAATTTAGTTTTTCAGCCATTTTGACAGCCCTAAAACTGATAATGCTATAGTTCTTTTTTTTTTTAAATCAACAGTTATGATGGTAACAGGGTTGAAAATTAGTGATAAAAAGGAGACAAATACTTGTCCATGAACAGTTGAAATGATAATGTCATATGATGGTTTTTGAGGAGTCAAATAGTACAGAATTACAATAATCAATAGTTATGATGGCAATAGGGTTGACAATTTAAGATTGTCCAATTCACACCTCACACACCTAATAATATAAGACGGTGATTACAAAAAAGTTACTAATACTATAAATGGAATGATGTCAAAGTGTATAACTACTTATTATTAAGTATTATTAATAATACAATTTGAAAACTAAAATAGCAAAAAGTATTCAAAACTTGTTTATAGTGGTTAACGTAAGTTAGTAGTTAGGTTTTTAATAATATAAATATAATATTATGACATGTATAGCAAGTTATAAAAATTACAACAATGTATTTTAATATGCATTTGTTTATTTATAACTTTAAAAGATAAGTTATAGTAGCTTTAATTGTATAAATACATTATAAAAAACCTGTATAATATAAAATATTTATATATAAATGTAATTTTTATATATAATGTTATTTTTAAACATTTAGCATTATAAATACTTTTACTGCATCAACTAATATTATTGCGATAACCATTGTATATATCTAAAAACATAACATGGTATATAACAAGCAAATGACAGTGACCTGTGAGATCAGAACGTTTGCAGTGGCTACATTGGCCACACGGATCAGGCCCTGCTGAATGATCCTCTGGCCCTGCACCTGTACAGAGGTGCGTGCGCCCAGCAGCAGAGGAGGGGGACCAGTCCCCGAGTGTTGTTGCTGCTGCCGTAGGGTCGCAATCTGCTGCGGGGTCACAGTGATGGGCTGTAACACACAAACATCAGAGAAAAAGGATTTGTATAAAAAGTAAAATTCTTTTAGAGTTTTAGAGTTTCAAGCCACAGCAGTACATACCTGGGAGCCTCTGACTAAGGGTGGCATGACTACGGTATTATGGGAGCCGTGCTTGGAGACCTGCGCTCCACCTCGAACCAGAGGAGGAGGAATGACTGTCCCTGAGTTTCGGTTGGAGACCTGAAAACAAAACATGTATTTAAGTTTTAATAGCTCTTCACAGTTCAGCTTTTAGAAACACGTTGAGACCATTGCAGGAACATGCAATGGACAGAACGGCACTGACCCTGAATAATATATTTTTTTTTTATTCATTTCAGATTTTTTATTTGATTATACTACCAAGGGTTTTCACACCAAGCTAAATTAAAAATGCCTATTATTTTCTTTATTATTTTATCTCATAGTAGTTGTAGTAACAGTTGTAGTAGTAGTAGTAATAATAATAAAAAAAACAATGTAACACTACAGGATTTTATAATGTAATATTTTACTAAAAGGTTTTATACAACATTTAATTAGATTAAAATTGCTAACAATTTAGTTATTTTATAATAATAATATATTTTTAAATTTCTTAATTTTTTGTTTTTATTTATTTATATTTGTTTATTTGCAAAGGGTTTTTTTTTTTTACACAAAACTGGATTAAAACTCATAATAATATTACTACTACTACTACTACTACTAATAATAATAATTATTATTTTTATTGTTATTTTAATTTCTTTATTCATTATTATGCAAAATGTTATCTTTATAATCACAGTAGCATTAGTAGTAGTAGTAGTAGAAGCAATACCAATAATACTATTAATAACAATAATGATTTCATTTTTTTTTATTATTCATAACACCAAAGGATATTACACAAAACTGGATTAAAGATGCAAAATACTATCTTAATAATTTTATCTAATAATAATAGTAGTAGTAGTAGTAGTACCAGTACTACTATTTCTATTATTATTATTTATAATAATAATAATAATACATTTTTTAAATTAGTTTATAACAAAGGCTATCACACAAAACTGGATTAAAAATGCTAAATATTTTCGTTATCTATCTATCTATATATCTATCTATTTCTATTATTATTATTTATAATAATAATAATAATAATACATTTTTTAAATTAGTTTATAACAAAGGCTATCACACAAAACTGGATTAAAAATGCTAAATATTTTCGTTATCTATCTATCTATATCTATCTATTTCTATTATTATTATTTATAATAATAATAATAATAATACATTTTTTAAATTAGTTTATAACAAAGGCTATCACACAAAACTGGATTAAAAATGCTAAATATTTTCGTTATCTATCTATCTATATCTATCTATTTCTATTATTATTATTTATAATAATAATAATAATACATTTTTTTAATTAGTTTATAACAAAGGCTATCACACAAAACTGGATTAAAAATGCTAAATATTTTCGTTATCTATCTATCTATATCTATCTATCTATCTATCTAATAACAAAAATAATACAAATCATTATTTTAATCATCATTTTCTGTTTATTATTAACAATATTTTTCTAATAATAATCATATTGTGTTTCTTTATTCATTATCTCTAATATTGACATTGACATAATATTGACTACTGGACACATGTTGATTTGAACATGCACCATCGTGAGGTCATGTGCATTGTAGTGTACTACTGTTTGAAATGTTTAGCATAGTTTGACACATTTACACTGACCTGTAGGGGTCCTTTAGTGGACGAGATGCTGCCCCTGACGAGAGGTGGCGGAGCAGCCACAGAATTGGTTGACTGCAAAACAGAAGAGGTCAGTGCCAGGTCAGATTGAACTTCAAGCATCTTTATTGTATCCTGACTGTTATGTTTTTTTACCTTTTGCACAACATCTTTTTGGGTCTGACTCTGTCGGAGTTTCTTCAGCAGGACGAGTTTGGCCTCCTGTAGACGCAGTTCTTCCTGCAGCTGTCTGATGATGCGCTCACGTTCAGCCGGGCTGCTCTTCTGCACATGACATGGACAAAAAAAAAAAAAAAGTCACGTTAGTAAGTGAACAGGAGATCTGATGCGTTGTTATATCAAGTGCAAATGATCTGTAGATATAATGTCCTGAGAAATCACATTACCATAAGCATCTCAGTATCCGTCTTCTTAAAACTGTAGCTGACCCCATTCATACAAGGACTAGAGGGCTCATTGTCCGACAGAACAATGACATCATCTGGCGTTGGAGGTCGCTCTTTCTTTATGTCACTGAGAGGCAGATAGAAGCAAACATGAGCAATGGCTAAAAACACATTGATTAAGATACACCGTCTCTTTAAATGCTGGAATATTTAGAATCGCATATTACTCCTATTACTTCTGCAGTATATAGTATGTACAGTATGGGAATTAATCCGTATGAGTGAAATACCCGGATAACCAAATAGGTAGGTAATTTGTGAAATTACCAAAATGTAAAGTATAGGGGTGAGCGATATGACCAAAATGAGTAATTTTTTTCCATGGCAACAATATATATCACTGTATAGTTATTTTTGCTTTAAATAAGGTCTTTTTGATATCAAAATTTTTGATACCATAGAAATTTCATAACTTTTGGCACCAGTATCAATATCACAAAAAAACTAATATGAGCCTAAATAAAATAAAAAAATAAATAAATAAAAAGACAAAGAAACTCAAGCTCAATGAAGACAAGCAAACAGTCAGCGATTTAAAAAAAGAATAAACTAATTACAAGCAATAGAACAAAAAAACTACAGTAGAACAAATAAATTAGAAATGCTACATACATTGTATTAAGTAATTAAATGTATAAAAACACTGCATATTCTTTACTATGTAAACTAAATATGTAGGCTATTTCTTATTAAAAATACAAAAGTGATTTAGTCAAGAGCAGTGAGAGATTTTCTCTCTTTTGTTGTTTGATTAACATGAATGACAGACAGCAGGAATATTAGACTGCTGTCACTTTAAGAGCCGATCGGATCCAATATACTGCTACTAGGGCTGAACGATTTTGGAAAATAATCTAATTGCGATTTTTTTTACCAATATTGCGATTGCGATTTAATATGCTCTTTATGAGCTATAAATCATTGTATAGTATGATCAACACACTATTAGATAGATTAAACATAAATGTTCTTTTCTGTAGGCCAGGCCTATATGTTACGATGAAATTAGGTGATGCATGAATTGATATGAATGACATTTTTA